GGACACAGCCTGGGGACACAGCCGAGGGGGATGCAGCCCTGCGCTTCCTTCTCTTGGGCTGGAAATGGCAGCGGGGGCTGCCTCCCCTCCCTGTGCTCCCCCAGAGCGATTCGGGGCTGGCACGGGGGGTTTGTGTGTTCTCCTGGAAGCCAGAGGCTGCTCCAGCCCCGATCTGCAGCCTTCCATAATAATCTGGTTCCTTGCCGTTTGTGTTTGAATGGGTTTGTTTGTGCTCCTGGCACGGCTCCCGGGCTGGCAGAGCTGCCCAGAGGAGCTGGGCTGGGATATCCAAGAGTTAACCCCATGGAGCTGGGCTGGGATGGGCAAGAGTTAACCCCACAGAGCTGGGCTGGGCTGGCTGAGGGTTAACCCCACAGAGCTGGACTGGGATGGCTGAGGGTTAACCCCACAGAGCTGGGCTGGGATGGCCAAGAGTTAACCCCACAGAGCTGGGCTGGGTAACCCCACAGAGCTGAGCTGGGCTGGCTGAGGGTTAACCCCATGGAGCTGGGCTGGCCAAGAGTTAACCCCATGGAGCTGGGCTGGGATGGCCACTGGCTGGGCTCAGAATTAATTAACCCCACAGAGCTGGGCTGGCCACTGTATGAGCTCTGAATTAGCCCCGTGGGGCTCTGCTGGCCACAGGCTGGACTCAGAATTAACCCCATGAGGCTGGGTTGGCCTGGCACTGGCTGGGCACTGAGAATCAGCCCCATCCTGGGTTTTTATCCACAACCTGCCCCAAAAAGCGGGCAGCCTTCGTGCCAGCCCCGTGCCAGCCCGTTCTCTGCCCTGCCTGGCTGCTCTCCTGCGCTCCAGGAGTTCCTGGGGATGGGCTGCGGAGCCTCGGGAGCCGTGCCTGGCTCCTGCCCGGCTCCAGGAGCTGCTGCCCGGCTCCAGGAGCTGCTGCCCGGCTCCAGGAGCTGCTGCCCGGCCCCAGGAGCTGCTGCCCGGCTCCAGGAGCTGCTGCCCGGCCCCAGGGGCTCCTGCCCGGCTCCAGGAGCTCCTGCCCGGCTCCAGGAGCTGCTGCCCGGCCCCAGGAGCTGCTGCCCGGCCCCAGGAGCTGCTGCCCGGCTCCAGGAGCTGCTGCCCGGCTCCAGGAGCTGCTGCCCGGCCCCAGGAGCTCCTGCCCAGCTCCAGGAGCTGCTGCCCGGCCCCAGGGGCTCCTGCCCGGCCCCCAGGAGCTGCTGCCCGGCCCCAGGAGCTCCTGCCCGGCCCCAGGGGCTCCTGCCCGGCCCCAGGAGCTGCTGCCCGGCTCCAGGAGCTGCTGCCCGGCTCCAGGAGCTGCTGCCCGGCCCCAGGGGCTCCTGCCCGGCTCCAGGAGCTCCTGCCCGGCCCCAGGAGCTGCTGCCCGGCTCCAGGAGCTCCTGCCCGGCTCCAGGAGCTGCTGCCCGGCTCCAGGAGCTGCTGCCCGGCCTGGCTGGGCCCTGCCTGCCCCTGCCCCTTCCCCGTGCCCCTCTCCCGCAGTCGGGCCCAGCCCGTGCCAGCAGCCTGGCTCGGTGCCTCCCCAGGCTCAGCCTATTTTAGGAGCGGCTCTCGCAGCCCTGCCGGGTTTGTTCACGCTCGTGCAGCCCTCGGCTTCAGATTTGTGGTCACGTTAATGTGGAGTTTGTCCTCGTGGTTTACGGGCACAACCCAGAGCTGTGCGGGTGCTGGTGGGGGAGAGGGTGCTGGAGAGGGATCTGTGCTGGAATGGGGATCCCAGCTGGAACAGGGATCCCAGCTGGAGAGGGATCCGTGCTGGAGAGGGATCCGTGCTGGAACGGGGATCCGTGCTGGAACGGGGATCCCAGCTGGAGAGAGATCTGTCCTGGAGAGAGATCCCAGCTGGAGAAGGGATCTGTCCTGGAGAGAGATCCGTGCTGGCACAGAACAGTGTCTGCACACCCCCACCAGTGTTTTTTGTGGCCTGCAGCATTCCCAGTGCCGTTCCCAGTGCAATTCCCAGTGCAATTCCCAGTGCAATTCCCAGTGCAATTCCCAGTGCATTCCCAGTACATTCCCAGTACAGTTCCCAGTGCAATTCCCAGTACATTCCCAGTGCAATTCCCAGTGCAATTCCCAGTGCATTCCCAGTACATTCCCAGTACAATTCCCAGTGCAGTTCCCGGTGTATCCCCAGTACATTCCCAGTGCATTCCCAGTACAATTCCCAGTACAATTCCCAGTACATTCCCAGTACAATTCCCAGCACATCCTGCAGTGCCCCCTGCCCATCCTGCAGTGCCCCCTGCCCATCGTGCAGTGCCCGGTGCAGGTGTCGGGCAGCAGCAGCAGCGTTCCTGCGGCAGCAGCAGCAGCGTTCCTGCGGTGGGGTCACTGCCAGGACAACAATAGAACTTTAATTTTAGAGCATTTCCAGCTCCGTGCCCGGCGCCCAGCGGGGCCGAGGTCTGGGCAGTTCCTTCCGCAGAGGGAAAGGTGGATTTCTGTTGTTGTGTGCTGTTCTCACGGGGATTTGCGGCGCAGCCGGTCACTCCTGAGTGTGGCCAGCCACGAGAGACCGGGACTGCCAAACCCTGACGCTCCCGGCTCAGCTCCTTCTCTGAGCATCCCGTGGGAGCTTCCCGCTGCCGGGGCGTTCTTGTACACGAGGTGAACCCCACGGGAAGAGATGCCGGTGTCTGACTCGGTTCAGAAGGATGGATTATTTATTTATTATAACTATGCTAAAATACATTCATATCCTATATAAAAGGAGGATAGTAAAACTGCATACTGCTTTTTCTGACTCTAACTCCAACACAACTCGTGCCCTCTTTGAGAGCCCAGCCCCAGTGGGTTGGATTGGATTGGATTGGATTGGATTGGATTGGATTGGATTGGATTGGATTGGATTGGATTGGGTTGGATTGGCCACCAGGCTCAAACAATCCTCACCAGAATCCAACCAAGCATCACCCCAGGGAAATAATTCTCCAAACACATTTTACATAGGAAAAACAAGGAGCAGAGATAGAAATTGTTTTCTCTTCCATGTCTCTCTGTGCACCTCTATAAAGAATCCCGAGAAGGAGGGAAATGTGCCTGCCGCAGGCCGTGCGAGGGCAGCCCGCGCTGGGTGTGCCCCGTGCCACCCCGTCTGGGGAGGTGACAGTGCCAGCCAGCCCCGGTGTCACCGCGGGCACAGGGACGGGGCCAGCCCGGTGTCACTGCCCGGTGTCACTGCCCAGTGTCACTGCCCGGTGTCACTGCCGGTGTCACTGCGGGCACAGGGACAGGGCCAGCTCCCAGTGCCCAATCAGCTCCTGCCTGGGCCCTTCCTAAGGACAGGATTTATGGAGGGAATTTATCCCGGCTAAACGTGACATAAATCTGAGCACACGCGTGTGTGTCCTGCAGCCGGGAGCGGCTGGATCCGTCTTTGGGAACGGGGGGATCGGTTAAATCCTGCTTTGGGAACGGGGGGGATCGGTTAAATCCTGCTTTGGGAACGTGGGGATCAGTTAAATCCGTCTTTGGGAATGGGGGGATCAGTTAAATCTGTCTTTGGGAATGGGGGGATCGACTGGATCCTGCTTTGGGAACGGGAGGATCAGTTAAATCCGTCTTTGGGAACGAGAGGATCCTCCTGGGGCAGCCAGGAGCAGCTGAGTCCCTCCAGAGCTGCGGTGTCACCTCAAGGCTCCCCTGCTCTGCCACCTCCTGTGTCACTTTTGGGATTTCTGGGGCCGTTCCTGACGTTTGGGTGCCCTCGTTCCCCCTGGGCCGGGCAGGGCCTTGGCTGCCAGCCCGTGCCACTGGTGACAGGGACATTTATCCCCGTTCCTGTTGGTGACAGGGACATTTATCCCCATTTCTGTTTGCACAGCCTCCATAAATCCAAATCCAGCCCAGTGCTGGGGCTCTCTGCCTCTGCTTTGTGGGATCCCAGCTCCTCTCTTTGTGGGATCCCAGCTCCTCTCTTTGTTTGTGGGATCTCAGCTCCTCTCTGTGTGGGATCCCAGCTCCTCTATTTGTGGGATCCCAGCTCCTCTCTTTGTAGGATCTCAGCTCCTCTCTTTGTGGGATCCCAGCTCCTCTCCTCTCAGCCTTGGGGTCTTGCTGCCGTGGCTGTGGGAAGGAATTCACCTCCCACAGCAGAAAATCACCAATTCTGCTCACTCTGAGCAGCTCATCATTCCTGTCCGGGGAGCAGAAGCTCCTGCCGCTCCCCTGCCGCATTCCTGGAGCTCCTAAAAATACCCAGCCCGGGTCCTGCTGGCATTCCAGCCTGGCCGGGGTCCCTGCTGGCATTCCAGCCCTGCCGGGGAGCAGGAGGTGCTGGAGCCCCCGAGCAGCCCCCGAGGGCTCAGCACAGTTCTGTGACACCCTGTGAACACACAAACTCCTGTGCGTGGGGGAACCGCTGCTGCTCGACTTCGAGCCTGGGGGGGGAGGGTTTTACTTTATTTACTCTTATTTTTTATTAATGAGAGCAGCTTCACTTGTAGCATAATAGGAGTGAGTGTTTTGTTATCCTTGGCTGTAATCCGTGATAAACTGCCCCTGCCATCAGCCTTGTAGTTTACCCACTGGGGAGCCCGATTATTGCCTTGTAAAACGGAGCACCACTCCTATAATCCCTTAATTAATTAAATGACAAATTTTAGTTCTCTCCCATTGAAAATATAACCGGTGCAGAGAGAGGCCGTGGATTTATTTGATGGCTGCTCGCTCGCACTTTGTTTCCCGCGGATTGCCACGGTCCCTGCTGGTTTGTTTGTGCGGGGGGGACTCCTGGGCTGCTCCAGGGCCGGCTCTGAGGGTCCCCGCGGGGCTCGGCGTGTTCCCTGACCCCAAAACCTGAGCAGGATGAGGTGACACCTCGCAGGAGGTGACACCGAGCCGCAGGACACCTCTGGGCGATGCTGGAGCCCAGGGGAGCTTCCACACCTTCCCAGCTGTGAAACCCACCCACGTCCCTCCCAGACCCTGAACCGGGATAATTCCCATCCCCCGCTGGTGCCTGGGGGGTTTTGGGGCTGTTTAAGGATTTCTCTCCCTTCTCTGCTCCCCAGGCTGCTGCAGGATGGGTGACGACCGGCCCTTCGTGTGCGGCGCCCCGGGCTGCGGACAGGTACGGCCGGCGGGGCTCGGCCTCCCTGGGGCCTGTGGGGCTGGGGTCTGGGGCCTGCTGGGGCTTGTTTGGGGTCTGCTGGGGCTGGGGTCTGCTGGGGCTGGGGTCTGCTGGGGTTTGGGGTGTGCTGGGGTTTGTTTGGGGTCTGCTGGGGTCTGCTGGGGTTTGTTTGGGGTCTGCTGGGGCTGGGGTCTGCTGGGGTTTGTTTGGGGTCTGCTGGGGCTGGGGTCTGATGGGGCTGGGGTCTGATGGGGTTTGTTTGGGGTCTGCTGGGGTTTGGGGTCTGCTGGGGCTGGGGTCTGCTGGGGCTGGGGTCTGATGGGGTTTGGGGTCTGCTGGGGTTTGGGGTCTGCTGGGGTCTGCTGGGGCTGGGGTCTGCTGGGGCTGGGGTCTGCTGGGCTTCGGCCTCAGCTCTGCTGGGCTTCAGCTGCTTTGGCTTTGGGGTTAATGGCGTTTTGGCTTTGGGGTTTAATGGGATTTTGGCTGTTCTGGCTTTGGAGTTAATGGGATTTTGGCTCCTTTGGCTTTGGAGTTAATGGGATTTTGGCTGTTTTGGCTTTGGAGTTAATGGGATTTTGGCTCCTTTGGCTTTGGGGTTGCTGGGATTTTGGTGTAACGGGGCTGGGGCCAGTTGATCCCGGAGCCCGAGCGCTCCGAGCCGCCGTTCCAGGGGCTCCTGGGGGAGAGCAGCCCCAGGGGGGAGAGCAGCCCCAGGGGGGAGAGCAGCCCCCGGGCTCCGCAGGGTGCAGACCCTGGCCCTGAGCTCCCAGCAGAGCCGCCCGGGCCGGGCTGGCTCCTGTGCCCCCGTCCTGTCCCCTTCGGGGCCCGGGGCTCCGAGTTCCCCCTCTGGAGCAGCTGGGAATGTGACAGGTGACGGGAGATGCTCCCCAAAACGCTATTTTGGGATGGGCTCCTCGTGGGAATTCCTCCTCCCTGGAGGCTGCGGAGCTTCCTGGGCTGAGGGAGGGGGATGAGGGGTGCGGGGGGCTCTTCCTCCTCCAGCCTCACCTTCCCGTCCCCTTTTCCTTCCCTTTCCAGGGAAAACGCTGCTCCCACCCCTTTTCCTTCCCTTTCCTGGGAAATCGGCGCTGTCCCAAAGCTGAGCTCAGGGGCTCCCTGGCCCTCGGTACTGGGAGGAACTGGGGGATGATGGAATTCCTGCTGGAATTAGTGGGATCTGCTGGACTCTGGGGGATGATGGAATTGCTGCTGAATTAAAAACACATATTTAGGGTTTTTAATGATGGGTGATGGAATTGCTGCTGGAATTAGTGGGATCTGCTGGACTCTGGGGGGATGATGGAGTTGCTGCTGAATTAAAAACACATATTTAGGGTTTCCCAGCTTTCTGGTCATTGTGACAGGAGCCTCACCCAGACCCTTCCCCTCCCCTCTTGCAGGTGAATTTCCTCCTTGTGCCTTTTCTTTTTTGTCTTTTTTTCTTTTTTTTTTTGGGAGGCTGCTTTTTATCTGAAACTTCTTTGCCTGTGAAATTGTGCAGGCCATTTATAAAATGTATTAGCTGTGTTTGAGCGCTTAATGGAGTGAGCCCTTCAATCACACAGCCCTAAAATCGGCTTCAAACAAGCAATTAAGGCAAACAACAATGTATTTAAATTTAATCTCCCACAATCTCCCACAAATGACATATAAAGGTGGCTGCTTCCTCCTCTGGCTGTTCCAGCCTGCTGCTTATGGGTAATTCCGACAATTCCTCATGTTAATATGGAAATGCTGGAATCCTGGTAATTCCGAGCGGGTGATTCATGGGGATCCAGCCTGACCTCAGCCTGCTGCTCCCAGAACGTCCTTCAGAGCAGGGCAGGGCTGGGATCCGGATCCAGGGCTGGGATCTGGGATGGGATGGGGTCCTGGGATGGGGATCCAGGGATGGGGATCTGGGATGGGGTCCTGGGATGGGATGGGAACCAGGGCAGGGCTGGGATCCGGATCCAGGGCTGGGATCCGGCCTGGGATGGGGATCCAGGGCTGGGATGGGGTCCTGGGATGGGATCCGGGGATGGGATGGGGATCTGGGATCCGGATCCAGGGCTGGGATGGGATCCAGGGCTGGGATGGAATGGGGGATCCAGGGCAGGGCCAGCAGGGCTGGCACGGGGGAATGTCCTGGGGTGACTTTTTGGTTTGCCCCAGCAGCTGCTTCCTTCCCTCTGTAGCTGACACCAGCCCCATCTTTTATGCCCTAAACCCCTTTTTACTCCTTTCTTCCTTTGTTTTTCCTCTTTCCCCCTCTTCCCTCCCTTTTTCCTCCTTTTTTCCTCCTTTCCCCCCTTTTCCCTTCTTTTTTCCTCCCTTTTTCCTCCTTTTCCCCCCATTTTCCCTTCGTTTTTCTTCCTTTTTCCCTCCTTTTCTCCCCCCTTTTCCTCCTTTTCTCCTCCTTTTCCCTCCTTTTTTCCTCCTTTTCCCCTCCCTTTTTCCTCCTTTTCCCCACCTTTTCCATCCTTTTTTCCTCCTTTTCTCCTCCTTTTTTCCTCCTTTTCCCCTCCCTTTTTCCTCCTTTTCCCCTCCTTCCCCCCCTTTCCTCCCTCTTTTCCTCCCTTTCCCCCCCTTTTCCTCCTTTTCCCCTCTTTTCCCGTTTCCATGCAGGAAAAGCGGCTGAGGGCAGCGAGGAGGGCGCCCAAAATCTCTCTGGGCAGCTCGGGGGGGCTGTAAACATGTTTGGGGTTGCCAGGGCTGCGGGGGGATATTTTGGGATTCTCCCAGCCCGGGCAGGGTGGCACAGCTGCCTCCCACCCCGAGGGGACAGGTGGAGAATTCCAGAATTCCCTCCCAGCTGGGATTCCATTCGGGGGGCAGCGGGGTGCCTGGAGCCAGGAGTGATGGCTGAAATCCATCTGGGTGCTGCTGTCACCCCAAATCTCTGAATTCTGGGTGCTGGGTGCTGCTGGTCACCCCAAATCCGTGAATTCTGGGTGCTGGGTGCTGCTGCTCACCCCAAATCTGTGAATTCCGGGTGCTGGGTGCTGCTGGTCACCCCAAACCTCTCAGTTCTGGGTGCTGGGTGCTGCTGGTCACCCCAAACCTGTGAATTCTGGGTGCTGGGTGCTGCTGGTCACCCCAAATCTGTGAATTCCGGGTGCTGGGTGCTGCTGGTCACCCCAAATCTGGGAATTCCGGGTGCTGGGTGCTGCTGGTCACCCAAATCTCTGAATTCTGGGTGCTGGGTGCTGCTGGTCTCCCCAAATCTGGGAATTCCCGGTGCTGGGTGCTGCTGCTCACCCCAAATCTCTCAGTTCTGGGTGCTGGGTGCTGCTGGTCACCCCAAATCTGGGAATTCTGAGTGCTGGGTGCTGCTGTCACCCCAAATCTGTGAATTCTGAGTGCTGGGTGCTGCTGGTCACCCCAAATCTCTCAGTTCTGGGTGCTGGGTGCTGCTGGTCACCCCAAATCTGGGAATTCTGAGTGCTGGGTGCTGCTGTCACCCCAAATCTCTCAATTCTGGGTGCTGGGTGCTGCTGCTCACCCCAAATCTGTGAATTCCAGGTGCTGGGTGCTGCTGATCACCCCAAATCTCAATTCCAGCCATTCTGGGGGCTGGGACTGGGGGTGTTCCCCAGCTTTGGGCAGTGGGGCAGCCCCACCTCGTTCATTAGGAAATTAAACCCTCATGTTTGGGAGATTTGGGAATTGAACCTTCAGGTTTGGGGGAGTTTGGGAGGATATTGAATATATTGAATATACTGAACATACTGAATATGTTGAATATTCTGAATACATTGAATATCTGGAATATCCTGAACACCCTGAGCAGGGAGCACGGCTTCCCAGCCCTCCCTCTGCAGCGTTTCCCTTTGCAGGGCACACAAATCATCCCTGCGGCCCTAATTCCAGAGCTCCAGTTATCCAGGCCATTTCCTCAGACAATCGTTTGCTTTTTAAACCCCCCTTAATTTCCCAATTTATTCCCCCTGAACCCTTGCTGGGAGCTGCTGCTTTGTGCAGGAAACGCCGAGCCCAGAACTTTTCACGAGGCCAGAAAAGGATTTTTTTTTCCTCTCTCTCTCCTCGCTGGTTTATTGTATCCTCTTATCTTGTCATATAATAGAAATAATGTTTATGGCGTGGTGCCTGAGCATCGCTTGGCATTTAACCGGGCTCGGAGCAGTTTATGGCTCTGTGCACTCTGCTGCCGTGGCCATCAGCCCCTAAATCTCTAGTGCAGCAACGGAGGGGCCACGCAGCTCCTGCCGGGCCCAGCGGTTCGGGTTTGGGGTTTGGGGTTTGGGGTTTGGGGTTTGGGGTTTGAGCTGGTTTGGGGTTTGAGCTGGTTTGGGAATGAGCTGGTTTGGGGTTTGGGATTTGGGCTGGTTTGGGGTTTGGGCTGGTTTGGGGTTTGGGGTTTGGGGTTTGGGCTGGTTTGGGGTTTGAGCTGGTTTGGGGCTGAGCCGGTTTGGGGTTTGGGGCTGAGCTGGTTTGGGACTGAGCTGGTTTGGGGTTTGAGCTGGTTTGGGGTTTGGGGTTTGAGCTGGTTTGGGGTTTGGGACTGAGCTGGTTTGGGACTGAGCCAGTTTGGGACTGAGCCGGTTAGGGGCTGAGCTGGTTTGGGACTGAGCAGGTTTGGGGTTTGGGACTGAGCTGGTTTGGGACTGAGCCGGTTTGGGGTTTGGGGTTGAGCCGGTTTGGGGTTTGAGCCGGTTTGGGACTGAGCCGGTTTGGGGTTTGGGGCTGAGCTGGTTTGGGACTGAGCTGGTTTGGGGTTTGAGCTGGTTTGGGGTTTGAGCCGGTTTGGGGTCCCCAGTTTGGGGTTCCTGAGCTGTGCCTGCTCCTGGTCTGGCTTCACCCCACGGCAGCGAAGGACCAGTTCCGCCAGGAGCTGCAGGAGCTGCAGGGGTGGGAACTGCAGGAGCTGCAGCCTTGCAGGGCCTGCACGGGTGGCAGCAGTTGCAGGAGCTGCAGTGTTGCAGGGCCTGCACGGGTGGCAGCAGCTGCAGGAGCTGCACGGGTGGCAGTGGCTGCAGGGCCTGCACGGGTGGCAGCAG